ATTCAGGCGGGTGGAGTTGAGGGAAATTCTTGAAACGATCAGCTGTTTATCAGAAACTCACACTGTGTTACCTTCCTGGAGAAAAGACTGGTTTACTTCTCGCAAGCCTCCTTGATTAAAAAAACGGATAAAATAAATCAAGAATTTTACTCAAATTTTCTACGAATTATTTGTCGTTTTCGTTATTAGTCAACTAAAATGTCTCTTATAGGGCTGAGACATGGAGAGGAGGTCAAACATCTCAATATTGTTGATCAAATGCATCAAAATCGATGCTCAAACAAAATTAAAAGGGTTGATTTTTTATGCTTTCAAAAATATTTACACCAGTTTTTCATCCATTTAATCATCGGTTAGCTGATTGGCTTATCGTTAAAGGGACAGCAGCTTTACATATCTGTTATATTGTAAATGCAGCCTTCAAAATCTAAGAATACATCTGGTCTCACATCGCATTACATCGGTGTGTCTTACCTATAGCTACTCCATAAGTCTCTCAGCATGAACAAAATAAATCTAAGTGCACACTTTCTGGTAAGCACGAGATTTAAATTGGATCTTCAGCATGATTGTGTGTGCAGACCCTCAGTTTTACAGATCTGTTCATGATAAATACACTTCTTTTATCTATTAATTAACAATCTAGTCTTTCCACTAAAATGGCTTTGATCGATGGGTGCAAAAAGCGTTAAAAATACATCTGTAGGAAACACAAGATCATGATTCTGTGTGGAGAGATCTGTCCGTTACTCTATGCACCATGTCACCTTTTTTGTAAAGTCATTGCAACATTCATTGAGAGTAGCACGCCTGCACGTATTGGACACTGCTTTAAATAATAAGACTTTTCTACGTTTTTTATGACTCTTTGTTCACCGTGGAGGCCTGAGAGATCAATAAAGTTTTCTTCAAGACTTTAACAACGCTAACACGGTGCCAGTGACTGATAAACAGAGGATCGTGTGTGTGTGTGTGTGTTCCCTCTCAGAGTGTGTGTGTTCCCTCTCAGCGTGTGTGTGTTTTCATTCGTCGGTGTTCTCCACCAGCGAGAGGCCCTGCAGCTGAGGGGGGGGGGGCAGCAGCAGCTCCCTCTTGTAAGTCTTTGGTGGGAGTTTGGGCAGCTGGGGGTTGCAGTTGGTGGGCGGGGGGGCGACCGGGGGGGCGGTGATGGGCAGCGGGTAGAGGCTGTTCTGACTGGCGCTGAGCGGGCAGCTGCGGCGAGGGACGCGGGGCGACGGCGTGCTGGGGGGGGTGTTGGGGGAGCAGGGGGCGGAGCCAAAGTCCCAGTGATAGCGGCCCACTGGGGAGGGCTGCATGTTCACCGGGTAGTTGATGAAGATCTCCGGGGGTCGCTGAGGAACCGGAGGGGGCGTGTCGGGCTCAGGGTCGCGGGGCGGCGGCGGCGGGGGGCTGGGCAGCGGGCCGTCCATCGGGGGGCCGTTGTAGAGCGGGGTCCGGGGCTGGATCCGAGGCAGAGGGGGGGGCAGGGGGGGGATCGCTGGAGGACTGTCGGACCTGGAGCTCATCTGAGACACAAGGAAGAGAAAATATTAATAAACAAAAAGACCCGGAGAAGGACGGTTAGTGTTGTGTCGTTTTCAGTTTGTCTCTTTGTGCATTTTCTTTGTTTTTGTGTTATTCTCTGTCAAAGCGTTTTGACAGCGCAAGAGTTTTTAGAAAAGCGCTATATAAGTGTCATGTATTATTATTATTGTTATTATAGTGTACAGCAGACAGAACAGGCATAACGGGGTTTGTGGCATCCCTAGTTGCAAGGCGAGTGAAGAAGTGTCTTAAGGGTGCATTTTCTCAAATATCCAGCAGGGGGCGACTCGACTGGCTGATTGTAAAGAAGTCAGTGAGAAAATGTTCCTACTTCTCTCTCTCAGTAAACATTTCCCTGATGAGTTTATAGTCTCAATCTCCAGTTTCAAGTCTTCTTCAACACAGCATGATGTTCAATTAGTAAAAGATAGTGCCACGCTGTTTTCCTACTCACCAGTATTTGCATCCCAATATAAATGACAAGGTGCTTTACGGATGCACCACCTTGCCCTTTCACAGGTCAACACTCTCATACAAATATGGTCACTTTTGGCAAAAAAAAAGAAAGTTTAAACTCCTAATTTATATAAAATCTGCAGAGAGATGTGATACTTGAGTTTTAAATGTAGTTCTTCATATAGGGAAGGAAATTAGCACGTGTCAAATAGACGGTAAAAGGTGTTGAAGGGAAAATAATTCAGGTCGCCTCGTCTGTCACCATGGCTGATAAGGTTTTGCCTATCTTAAGAAATATTATTTTTTAATATTGCAACTCCTTAGGTTGCTTCTTCTGTCCGATGACACTGACTCAGAGCTTAAACGTCTTAAGAGTTAGAAAAAGATATCAGAAGGTGCGTCAGAAAATCCGTACAATTCCTGATTTTATAGGAACCTATAGTCAGGGGTGCAGGGCTTCGTGACCACAGAGCGTGTGAACGTTGTGATCAGCTGTTTTAGCGCAGTGCTGCTGTACAGACCGACGTTATCAGCAGCCCTGTCTGTGCACACGGAAACCGACTCTGTCGTCCGGTGATCTAACCGCCTTCTGGAAAAGCTTCACAAGTACGTCGGTACGCAAATGTGCTTTGTGACACAAGTGACGGTACGCATTTCAGATTGTTGCCGCGCATGCGTACCTGCGTACCGCTTATGTGCACCCCTGCCGATAGTATTATTATTTGCTCTTGGCATAGATATGTTAATCCCTATCAAACCGAGTAGTTGTGATGATTGGTGTGAAATGACTCCCTGTTCTCACCTTGGATTCAGACGTGGCGTCTTTCCTCCGCGGTGGCAGAGGAGGCGGTCTCATCGACTCGTCCACGAGCTGATGGAGGCTGCCGCACGACACCGAATGGAACTCTGCGAAACAGAAGAAAACACCATCAGAGAGTTAAAAAACAACCACAGTGTGAGTTAAAGATGGAGAACAGGCCCTGCTCACTATCACAGCACAATTATAGCGCATTTCCACTGCAGGGTTTTAGCGCGGCTCGGCTCGCTCCTTTTTACTTTTCCACTAGGGGTAGTACCGGCTCACGGGTACTTTTTTTAGGACCCCCTCAGTCAGAGAGAATCGTTATAATTCTTGCGCGAGACAGTCTCCAAGCGTCGTATAAGCAGCAGCATTTTTAAAACAGACGAGCTAATGTCAGCAAGTGTTTCTAATTTCAACAAATCCATAAAGAAATGGCGGCAAAAAAAACACAAGCCGTAGTCGTTGGACGAGGTACAGACGTTCCAAACTCGTTAAAAAAAATACAGCGGGAGCTCGACGCTCTGTTCTTTGCTTGAAAGCGTTGTGTCCCTATCTATTGTAAAGCTCACTTCTAACAAACAAGCCTATTTTATCCTTAAATGTATGCTCGACAACCCAGCCGATCGCCCCGCCTACACTGCGTGGTTACTATAGTTACTACCCTTGTTACTAACTCAGGGTATATGCAGGAATCCTGAAGTCAAATGTAAAACCTTTTAAGACCCTTTCCATACATTTTAAGACCTCATCGCCACTTAGAGTTCTAACCGGTTACCTTGGCGACACACTTTACCTCACATTGACTATATACAGTATTGATTGTCCTTCCTCCTTATCTTCCAACCATTTGGACGCAGACTTGCATTTCCCCATAACGATGTTGCTTAGCAACCGGCGTAAACGGACCTTCGCGCGCTATCAAGCAGTGAGCGTGTGATGTCCTGTTCAGATGACGTCAAATCCAACGGGATGCCATAAATAAACTACACAGAATCACACTACATACCTACGCAATGATTACATTCAGGCAGACTCTAGAATACAACCTCTTTGGACCATTTAGATACTTATTGAAAACAAGATACAAAATGTAATATCTTGGAAAATGCCGTTTAATACTTTTTAATAGCCTTCATTTT